CTCCATGCTGAGCGTGGAGCCCTCTTGAGATTCTTTCTCTCCTTCTCTTTCTCTGCCCCACACCCCCTCAAAATAAAGAAGTAAACTTAGAAAAAGAAAAGAAAAAAAAAGAGTGCCTAGATAGTTCAGTGGGGAAAGGATAGTCTTTTCAACAAATGGTGCTAGGGCAACTAGACATCCACACTGACAAAAAAAAAAAAAAAAAAAAGGAGGCTGGGCACCTTCCTCGAACTGGACACAAAAATTAACTCAAAATAGATCTTAGACCCAAACATAAGAGTTAAAACTATAAAACTCTTAGAAGAAAGCACAGGCCTGACTCTTAGTGACCTAGGATTATTCGGTAATATGACACAAAAGCAAAGCACCAAAAGAAAAGAAAAACAAGGTAAATTGGACATCATCAAAATAACAAACTTCTGTGCTGCAAAGGACATCGTCAAGAAAGTGAAAGACAGGGCGCCCGGCTGGCTCAGTTGGTAGAACCTGCAAGTATTGGTCTTGGGGTTGTGAGCTCGAGCCGACATTGGGTGTAGAGATTACTTAAAATAAAATCTTAAGAAAAAAAGTGAAAAGACATAGAACGTGAGAAAATATTTGTAAACCATATATCTGATAAGGAATTGTAACCAGAATACGTAAAGGACTCTTACAACTCAGTAATAAAAGACAAGTAACCCAATTTAAAAGTGGGCAAATGATCTGAAGAAACATTGATCCAAAGAAGATATACAAAATGGTCCATAAGCTCGTGAAAAGATACTGAAAATCACTAGCCATCTGGGAAATGCAAATCAAAACCATGAGATGCTACTTCACACACAGTAAGTTTGCTATAATCAAAAAAGACAGTTAACAAAAAGTGTTGGCAGGAATGTGGAGAAATCAGAACCCTCACACACTACTGGTAGGAAAGCGAACAGTGCAGGTACCTTGAAAAACCTTCTGGGAGTTCCTCAAAAGATTAAATAGAATTAACCACGTGACCTAGCACTTCTGTACCTGGGAGGTATAGATCCGAGAGAAGTGAAAATATATGTTTACCCAAAAACTTACATGAATGTTTGCAGATGCATTATTCATAATAGCCAAGAAAGTAGAAACAATCCAAGTAGCACATTAACTGATGAATGGATAAATAAAATGTGGTCTATCCACACACAGAAATATTATTCAGCAATAAAAAGGAAAGAGGTATGGATACGTGCTATGACATGAGTAAACCCTGAAAACATATTCTAAGTGAAAGAGGTCAGTCATAGAAGATCACACACTATGGTTTCACGTATAAGAGATGTGCATATCAGGTAAACCTTGCAGACTTTTTATAGCAGTGACTGCCTAGAGCTAGGGGGAGGGGCCTGGGGAGAAATGGGTATGGGGTTCTTTCTGGGATGATGAAAATGTTCTGAAATTGATGGTGGTGATGATTGCACAACTCTGAATACACTATTGAAAAACTATTGAACTGTGTGTCTCAAATGGGTGAATTGTATGGTAAGTGAATCACACCTCAATAAAGCTGTTAAAAAAAAAACAACAAAAAAACCTTTTCTTTGGACCCATGACTCTACTTCCAGAAATTTCTTCTAAGAATTACTCAAGTGCATAAAAAGATATGTATAAAGATTTCCATCACAGTATTGTTTGTGACAGCAAAAGCATGACGGGGGGACCGGTCAGTTATGTTCAACCCCGGGATGAACAATGGAATCATTAAAAAAATAATAATAAAAAATGAGAGTCACTTTACTAAAATGGACAAGGTCGAATACTGTCATGTTAAAAAAAAAAGTTACAAAATACATCTATAGATTAAAAGGAGGTTAAAAGATTTTTTTAAGACAAAATTACAGTATCTAGGGATGCACACTGAGTGATAACTAACAAGAAAGTGATGACCTTAAAAGTCAGGATAACAGTGGGGTGCCTGGCTGGCTCATTCAGTGGACCATGATTCTTGATCTCTGGGTCATGAGTTCAAGGCCCATGTTGGGCATAGAGCTTACTTTAAAAAAAGAAAAAAAAAAAAAGGGAGGCTCCTGGCTGGCTCAAGGTCAGTAGAGCATGTGACTCCTGATCTCGGGGTCATGAGTTCAAGGTCCATGCTGGGAGGAGAGATTATGAAAGAAAAATGAAAGAACAAAAGAATGGAAGGAAGGAAGGAGAGAGGGAGGGAGGGAGGAAGGAAGGAAGAAGGAAAAAAGAAAAAAAGAAAAAAAAAAGGCTAATGGTAACTCTTTGTGGCGGGGGGCAGGGCAAGGGGCCGCCACGCTGAAGGCTTCTAGGGTGGGTGGCTGGTGGAGTTCTTCACCTGCGCAGTGGCTCCAAAAGTGTTTGCCTTATAATAATATGTCAAATTGAACATTTATTTTGTATGGGCTCTCTGTGTCATATTTTGTAACAAAAAAGTTAAAAATCAAGTATACCCATTTCAATTTTTAAAGCAAATGTCATAAGATTCGATTCTTGTAAAAACAATCTATATCTATATGTGCATATGCACAAAAAAACAGCCGGAAGTTTGGGATTTGGGATGCTCTTAATTTATACTTTTCTGAATTTTTGCTTTTTTCCCTCCTGCAATGAACACGAATTACTTTTACAGTCAGAAACAACAACAACAACAACAACAACAATAACAAAGGTATTTGCTGTGTCTGGGGCATCTATGGCACTCTGACATTGTATAGCCAGAAAAGTAGACACTGGGGCGCTGGAAGACTGCACGGGGGGCTTCAGGAGACCAGGGCTCCTTGTCTGCTCAGCCCCCCAGGGCTTAGCTGAGACCCCAAGGCCAGCATCCCCCGAGGCTTCCTGGGGACTCAGCCGGTCGGGTAGCTGGTGGCAGCTGCCTTTTGGCTGTCCCCCCTCTCCCCCCCGCCCCCGTGCTCCAGACACGGGGAGTGCAGTTCTGACCCTGCAAACCTGATGGAGGCCACTCTGCTCCTATCTGTACAAGCTTCCTATTGTGGGCCAGAGGGAGAAGCCCTGGGCAGAGGGTGCGGGGGGTGGTGGCAGGGTCTCATTCTGGCTGGCTCTGCTACTAGCAGCACAAAATCCCATAATAATGAGCTAAATGAGCACTTTATATATATATAAGCCATTTGTGGTAGGTGGATTACATAGCTGGTTTTATGGAGCCTTCCCAATGACCTGAAGCCACGGGTGAGATCATCTTCATAGTACAGATGGGGCAAACTGAGGTCTGGGGAGCCCCATGACTGAGCCCAGGGGCTGGGAAGCCCGGGTGCCTGGGGAAGTCACTACCACGAGGCTGGGCTTAGCCAGACCCTTTGCATGCCCAGCCTCAGAGGCTTCTCCCAGGAGTCCAGGAAGGCGGCTGCCCTGGTACTGCACATGAGGACACGGAGGTTGACAGAGAGAAGCCACCTGTCCATGTCCCACGGCGACTATGGGGTGGGGGTGGGGGGCTGGCGCAAAGGCAGAGACTCTCAGAAGCTCCACCAGGCAGCCTCTAGTTGCTGCGAGAGGCCCCGGGTACGCTGCCCACCTCCGTGGGCTGGCTCCTGGTACACTTAGTAGTTACTGAACTACAACCTAGGGAGCGTGTGGGGCAGAGGCGAAGGTGCGTTCTTTCCTTTGCTCCTCTCTCAAAACTATAAATCTTCAACCTATTTAAAGCCTGGAGATGGGAGACCCGGAGACATGAGTGACAGGCTGTGAAGGCATGGGGGGGCATGGGGTGCCTCCCCTGCATGGTCCAGAGCAGCCGGGTGTGGCTCTCCTGACAGTGCAGCCAGCCCCCTTTCCCATCACAGGGGCTCTCCAGTGAAGCCAGCCTGCCTCCCGCAGAGCTCCCCAGCCCCCACTGTAGTGTGTACTTTCCTAGCAGGACACTGAATGTCAGGGCAAATTGCCAAGGACAGCTGGGGAGGGGGTCTCAGGGGATCTGTAACCCTCCACTGCCTCCTCAGTAGCCCCAGCTCAAGATTATCCCAAACCCCTCCAAAAGTTCAGCCAGCTCATGTTGGCGAGCTCATCATGGACAGAGGGCCAGGCCACTGGCAACAAGAGGGGCTGCTTCTTTGGGCACCTACCACCTGCCAGGCACCAGCTATATGAAACCGGCACCATGCCTCATAAAGCCCTTTCAATACATCATATCTGCCTCATTTTGCAGAAGAGGTAATGGGGGCTCAGATAGGTGGAGTGACTTGTCCAAAGTTGCACAGCCAGGAAGTCTCAGAGTTCCTGATAGCCAATTTCAACGGAGCGGAGACAGAGGGATGGGTCACCCAGGACCCTTCGGAGGGAGAGCCAGGACCCACCAGGGAGGGGAGGTGTGGAGAAGGGAGCACCTGTGTCATGAGCTCTGACTCCCTTGGGACATGACTTATTCATCAATCCATTTGTTCTCTGTTTATGCATTGGACCCTCCCCACATGCCAGGGTCTGCTGGGCATTGAGGACTCCGGTAAACCCGGCTCATCTGTGCTCTCACAGAGCTCATGGCCTAGCAGAACCGAAAGGGAAAGTGAGGCAGGAAGTGGCCACCACCTGCTTGGGTCTGCTAGTGTTTACTGAAGGCCTACTATGGGCCAGGCCCAGTGCTGGGAACCAAGAGCACCGAGTACACAACAAGCACGAGGCTCTTGTCCTCCTGAAGCAAACATTCCAGCGGTTCCCAGCTCCCAACCTCCAGCCACCCTGCCTGCACGCCCCCCCAGCCCTGAACACGATGGGAATTTCTCTGGGGGTTGGTTCTCTGTGAGCCACACTGGGGCCTGCTTCTGAGCTGCTGGGCAGGCATCCAGGAAGGGCAGGGAAGCCTAGTCAGTGCCTTCCCTAGGAACGAAATCAAGGCCCTGGGCAGGCCAGACTCATTCAGCGGAATCTGGGGTCATCCCAGACTGGACTGCACAACTGGAAGGCCAACAAGGGCCAGCCATCCACGGGGTAGCCAAACTCCCTGGGGCCGGGGACACAGCGACTCTCACTGGGCGGAGGCCCCTCGCCAGCGGGCACGCAGGCCTTACCACGCCTGTGTTCCTTTGCTCCCCACTGACAGCAAACGGGCTGAGAGGCAGCATTATGGCAGTCGGTTCCGGCCACTCTGACATCAGGTCCATTTCACGGCCTAGGAAATGGAGAGACAGGGCCGGGGAAGGGCTGGGCCGAGATCACACCAGCCCATGGCACAGGCAAAATATGAACCAGGGACTGCCGGCCCTCTCCACCACCTTGCACGTCAGGAAGCCACCAGCAAGGGTGGGCACATCTACCCCCACGCTGGCAGTGCCGATGGCTCTTTAGCGAGGGCACCGCATGAGCTGCAAGCACAGAGGGAAACTCCTTTCCTTTTTTATTTAAAAAAAATGTTTTTTAATATTTATTTTTGAGAGAGAGACAGGGAGACACAGAATGTGAAGCAGGCTCCAGGCTCCGAGCTGTCAGCACAGGGCCTGACACAGGGCTCGAACTCACGAGCCGTGAGATCATGAGCTGAACTGAAGTCAGGGGCTTTACAGACAGAGCCACCCAGGCGCCCTGAGAAACTCCTTTCCTAGGCCTCCCCATGGTGGTGGTTTTATTTTTTGTGTTTGTGTCTGTGTTTCTAAATGCTCGACCTTTGCTGTCACCTGAGCTGTTAAACGTGCAAGGCCCCTCTCAGTGGCAGAGCGCAACCCTGTCTCAGCAGCCAAAAAGCTGGATCTACATTTTTAGGTGGAATTTAATTTTTGTGAAAAAAAAATTCTTAACATTTATTTATCTTTGAGAAAGAGAACATGAATGGGGGAGGGTCAGCGAGAGGGGGACAGAGGATCTGAAGCAGGCTCTGAGCTGACAGCAGAGAGTCTGATGCAGGGCTCAAACTTACGAACCGTGAGATCATGAGCTGAAGTCAGACTCTTAACGGACTGAGCCACCCAGGTGTCCTTTAAGCAGAATTTTAAAAACTGCCAAATCAGGGAGCCTGGGTGGCTTAGTCCGCTAAGCATCTGACTTTGGCTCAGATCATGATCCATGGTTCATGAGCTTGAGCCCCGCATCAGGTGAGCACAAGCCCTGCTTCAGGTAAAACATGAGCCCCTGGTGAGCTCCACTTCTCTCTTTGCCCCTCACTCACCTGCGCTCTCTCTTTCTCTCAAAAAAGTATTGCACAGGGGCGCCTAGGTGGCTTAGTCAGTTAAGCGTCCGACTTTTGCTTAGGTCATGATCTCACAGTTTGTGGGTTTGAGCCCCGCATCGGGCTCTGTGCTGACTGCTAGCTCAGAGCCTGGAGGCTGTTTCAGTCTGTGACTCCCTCTCTCTCTGACCCTCCCCTGCTCACACTGTCTCTCTTTCTCTCTCCTTGAAATTAAAAAAAAAAAAAAGCATTGCACATGTACACAAGATGAATGCACAAAAATCAACTGTATTTCTATATACTAGCAATGAATAATCTGAACAATCTGAAATGAAATTAAGAAAACAATTCCATTTATAATAGCTTCAAAAGAATAAAATACTTGGGGTGCCTGGGTGGCTCAGTCGGTTGAGTGTCTGACTTCGGCTCAGGTCATGATCTCACAGTTTGTGGGTTCGAGCCCCGCATTGGGCTCTGTGCTGACAGCTCAGAGCCTGGAGCCTGTTTCAGATTCTCTGTCTCCCTCTCTCTCTGCCCCTCCTCCACTCATGCTGTTTCTCTCTGTCTCAATAATAAATAAAAAGCATTAAAAAAAAAGATTTAAAAAAATAAAATAAAAATAAAAACTGCCAAATCCCCTTGCTAAAAAGAGAGAGTCAAAATAGAAGGATGAAAAAAAAATAGGAAAAAAGCTAAATTATTAAGACAATATCATATAGCCATTAAATAACTTTAAAGAACATTTTAACTGTGAGAAAACATTTCACCATATAACATAAGGCAGGGGGTAAAGCCAGCTATAGAGTATTATCATAATTAAAAAATATACTTATATGCATATGTATGATCCATATAGAAAAACAGGACTGGAGAGAAATATAACAAAGTAGCAGTGACAGTTATCTCTGGGCAGCGAGATGACAGATGACTTTCATTTTCTCCTTTGCACCTTAATGTAGTTCCCCAATTTTACAATGAGTATGAATTGCTTTTATAATTAGACATAAAGCAGAAAGGCAGAGAAGGGGTTGCCCTTGCCCAGGCTCGTCCCCTCCACCTCCACCCACCCTCCACACGCAGCTGGGTGGCCTCTGGGCTCCGTCCTTACTGACCTGCCCAGCACTGGCCAGAGCTGAGGGACCCCGGCCAGGCCACTGGAGGCTGTGGGCAGCCGGCACAGAGATCGGGGGATTCACCAGCCGTCTCTGGCCACGGAGGAACCAGCAAGGGGACACTGCCCTGCCTGGGCCCTCCGGAAGGGTCAATGCAGGCTGTAAATTTCCTGGCCAGGGACACTGGGATTTGATGCTCTCGGGGGCTGCGAATCAGAGCATTCATTATCTGCTGTGTGAGAGAAGTCGTCTTCTTTGTTCCTTGCATTTCTTTCAGGGCTGCTGAGTGCAGCAGGAAGGCTGGAGGACAGCTGGCCTTTGTCACCCTCTCGCTGTGGGCTCAGGCAGCCTCTCGGCTTGCCCACACAGGACTGGGGTGCCTGACCCACCTGGCCTCCCTGGGCCCTTCTAACTAACCTGAGGGGTAAGGGCCCAGGGTTGCTGGCCTGCACTCACCCTCCCGGGTTACTGTGCTCCACAAGCTACTCTGCTTTCCTCTGGTGCTGCCCCCTCCTGTCCCACCCAATCTCACCCACAGGGGCTGGACTAAGGCAGAGTTTCCAGAGAAGGGCCTCCCTGCTCTCTGGAGCTGTAGATTTGGGCAGGTTCCAAGAATGGTGCCCTCACTTCCTTCCAGCTGAGATCTTAGCCACCCCCTCCCTGTTCTGGAAGCTTCCGCCCTCCTCCTGGGCTATTTTAGCAATCAGGTCACCCGTTGGCTCACTCTGAGCTTGCGGTCAATTAAAACCCACAGGCCCTTTTCACAGAAATGGTGGTATCTCTCCCTCCTCCAGACGCTGCCCAAGTCAGGGTCCTCAGGATGAAAACGGCATGACTCGGCGGTCCTCCCGTAAGGGGGCCCTTGCTCTGGGGCTAAGGTCATGAGCTATTTCCATGCCCACTGTGGCCGGCACCCCGTGAGGGTGGCTGACAGCAGGAAGGGGGAGCTGGTCACAAGGACATTTGGATGGCCTGAACACCTATGTGTCCCCACGCTGTACCCTGCTGCCGCTAGACATGCAGCCCTCCCTCTGGTCCTCCTGGTACTAGGCAGGGAGCCAATTCTCACTTAAAGGGGAGCTGAGTGACCTCCAAAGGTCATCGTGTGTAATCTCCAAAGGCTGAGAGGGACCCTGGGGTGTCCCAGCAAAGCCCAAATCCACCTCAGCCGCACTGGGCACTTCCCATAGGGCCTGGCACACATGGCCACTGGCCCAGGCTGCCAAAAAGGTTCTTGTGATGAAGACTGGGGAGGCTTCCCAGCCTCATCCCGACATAGCAGGTGCCCAAAACCCCACACGAAGCCTGTCTCTTTAAGTCCATGCGTGTTCTGCTCAGAGCAGCTGAGGATTATGGCCCCCTGGTCCCCTGCTTCAGCTAAACCCTGGCCAGCAGCATGTGGAGCCCTTCGGCTGAAGACCCCGGTTCAGTTCCCATCCTTCCTTCCCACAGGCATCTGACTGAGCTCAGGCTCTTCCTGGCTGGGCCAGAGTCAGGGGGCGGACCACGAGCAGAGCACCTGCGGTGGGGGACCCCGACTCTGCCCTGGGAAGCAAGACAGCAAACAGGAGAAGGATTGTAGGGATGCCAGGGTGGCTCAGTTGGTGAAGCGTCCGACTCTTGGTTTCAGCTCAGGTCACGATCCCACAGTTTACGGGTTCAAGCCCACATTGGGCTCTGCACTGTCAGAGTGCTTGGTGTTCTGTGTCTCCCTCGCTCTCTGCCCCTCCCCCACTCACATTCTCTTTGTCTCTCAAAGTAAATAAACTTAAAAAAAAACCTTAATATTGACAATAAACTATTTGTAAAAAAAAAAAAAAGAATATTTTACCTTTAAAGCATTAACTCTAGTTCTAGAAATATAGCCAAAATAAATAATCATGCATGTAAAAAAAAAAACACCAAAACTTAATAAATAAATGGATATTTAAAAAAATAAAATAAAATAAAAAAATCAAGTTTATTTTTTAAGAAAGGAGAAAGAATGCAACTGCAGGGGCCACTGAGAGCAGCGGGGAGACAGAGGCCCCGCCTGGCGGAAGCCCGGAGGAGCGGGGCACAGGCCAGGAACTGACGAAAGCTGGCGTGTGGCGGCGGCAGTGCTGTCCAGTGGGAACAGAGCACAAGCCACACTTGGAATGGACAATTTTCTAATAGCCACAATAAAAACGGTAAAAAGAAAGTCTCAGTCGGTTGAGTGTCCCACTCTTGATTTCACCTCAGGTCATGATCCCAGAGTCATGGGATTGAGCCCCGCATTGGGCTCTGTGCTGACAGTGTGGAACCTGCTTAAGATTCTCTCTGACCCTCTCCCTCGCTCCCCTCCTCACATGCTCATTCTCCTTTAAAATAAATAAATAAATAAATAAATAAATAAATAAATAAATAAATAAATAAAACAGGTGGGGCACCTGGGTGGCTCAGTCAGTTAAGCAGCCAACTTAACTCAGGTCATGATCTCATAGTTTGTGAGTTCGAGCCCCACATCAGGCTCTGTGCTGACAGTCCAGAATCTGGAGCCTGCTTTAGATTCTGTGTCTCCCTCTCTCTGTGCCCCTCCCCTACTCATGCTCTGTCTCTCAAAAATGAATAAACCTTAAAAAAAATTTTTTAAAGGTAAAAAGAAGTGAAATTAATTTCAATAACGTATTTTGTTTAATCCAATATATTAAAAATACTATCTCAACATATAATAAATATCTGGGTGCCTGGGGGACTCAGTTGGCTAAGAGTCTGACTGATTCTTGGTTCCAGCTCAGGTCATGGTCTCACAGTTCATTCGTGAGTTTGAGCCCCGTGTCGCGCTCTGCACTGACAGCGTGGGGCCTGCTTGGGACTCTCCATCTCCCTCTTTCAATCTCTCAAAAATAAATTAAAAAAATTTTTAATTAAAAAAAT